AGAATGACCCATTTATGGTCCAGCATTTTACAAGATAACAGGGTTAGAAGGGTGCCCTGCAAATGGAATATTTCTAATGGGGCACAGTTGAGCTTTTACCTCTGAGGTATCAGATATTAATGTGATCCTGGTTTGTACTTTCAGGAGGTTTCTTCTGTAACAGAAGATTTATTTCTTCAGTCTTTTGAGTTCTGTTTAACTAGGCTTGTGGAAAAAAAAAATTTAAAAATGCCCTTGCTAAGGGAATATATGCCAATATACAAACACACAAAATATACAAAAGCCCTTCAGATTTTGTGTGTTGGGAACCAAGAAGTGGTGCAGAGTGGTAGGGAAAAAATCTGCATCTCTTCTTGAGATTATTTACATGTACTTTCATTACTTAGAACAAATCCGGCCATTCTCAACTCACAATGAAAATTCTCTCAAACCTAGTCTATCATTAACTTTCCTATGCTATTTTAAGATACTTTGGAATTCCTACATGAGGAAATTCAATACAGATACCACATGAAAGTCTTTATTTCACTGGATTTTTTCTGCCTATTCCTCTTTGTCTTTCATTGCTTTATTGCATCACCGAGTGAATTAATAATCTTTACAAACTAAGATATGTAATTTATACTCCATTTGGAACCAAGGACAAAGGACTGGAAGAAAATTCCTGAGTCATCCAAATCCTCATAAATACATGGGGCTACCTCACCTGACCACTTTGGAGGCTCTAAGAGCTAATGGTGTGATACCCCTCTCCTGTGAGCAGCTACTAGTTTCCTCACACTATAGGGGCTCAAGGGCCACAGCACATGTGCCACCCCTCTCCACTAATTCCAGAGGTGACTTCTTGGTTTAGGAGAGTTGGCAGGGCTCAAAATGACACCTCCACCTTTCATAGCTCTGTCATTCCCTCTCATGTGGAGTTTTATCTACTCTCATTCATGTCTTAAGGAGATAGCCTCTCTGTGGGCAGCCTATTTCAATACCCAGCTTGCCTGTTTTAAGGAAAAAAGTCATGGTATCTAACCTAAACTTTTTCTTCCTTTGTTTGAGGCTGCTGCTTCTTGTTCTACCTTCTTGTACTAATGTGAAGAATTCCCTTACTTCATTAAAGGCACTTCTACATATTGGTAATGTCCCCAGTGAGTGATCTCTGTATAAATTCAGTTCCTCTGATATTTTCCCATATGTTTTATACTCTGATCTTGGTATCACTTTGGTGGTTAATCTCTTTATGTTCTCCAGTGCAGTGTCTAAATGATTGGAGAGCCATAAAGTATTTTGAGTGACACTGTCCTTGATTTACAAAGCTACCATATCACTCTTCTACTTTCACATGTCTTCTAATTTGCATACAAGATTACCACTGCTATAACTTACTTAGGCTACAACACACATGTATATGTTTCACAGACTAGCTGGAGTAATAGTCTCAGGTTCTATCCCTTACTGGTTGCATGATAGCTCCTCTTCAGCTATGTCTCTTTTACTGACACTCCAACAGCATTATATTTGCTGAGAAACCACTTCAAAGAGATTTTGGACATAACCTTGCTGTATTTTCTGTGTTACCTATCTTTTGGTCACTGGACTTGTACATGCAAGCATTTCTAGGATAGTGTGAAATACAAAACTGCAAAACAAGAGCATGGCTATAAGACAAGTGACCCTGATTGGAAGGGTGGCTATGAAAACTGATTACACAGCAAATTGCCCATCTGCACAGGCTCGGAATAAGAACATTTCAAAGCTCATTTGTGGGCTGATGTTGCCATTTAATGCAGTTTCCAACAAATCATTCATAAAATTAATGGCCACAACTGATGCTTGTTTCCCTCAAGCTGTTTTGTGAAAAACAGTTCTTCCACAGATTCAGAGAGATATGTAAAAGAATGGGTATTATTTGAAGAAAATTGAATGAAGTAATCTTCACACAACTGCAGATGCTTGAGCTGCTGGTAATGTTCTGGGTTACTGAATTTTGTTCTTCACCATCCACTTGTCAGTTTATCTGTTATTAATGCTGCTCTGTTCTGTAGATTTCAGAAAATTACATAAAGGAACCTGTCCCTTATCTCTATGCTGAATGATCCTGGCACCTACTTGCTTACTCTGTGAATGGTGATTTGAGGATGGATAGCCTTGCTTCTTTTTAAATTTCTCTGCTGCCCATCATATACCCAGAATAACTTTCTATATCTTCTAAAAAAAAAAAAATAAAAAAGGACTTCATCATTCATGTCCCAGCCATAGAAGTGCCACTTTGAATTTCCCATATCCTAAATACCTTCTTTTCCAGAACTTGTCTTGGGGGGACTCTGAATTTCAAATTAACCTTTTCATTTTATAGTAGAATTGCACAGACTTTGCCAAAGGTTTCACAAACCAGTTATTCTTTAATTTGATTACTACAATAAATGCTCAGTTCCAATGAAACATAACACCTATGGTTTGTTTCCTGATGCCTCTGTGCATCTTTCTAGCCTGGTCCAGTTAAGCCATTTAAGACCAATTTATTCCCGTTTCTTTTGAATGGGTAACCTTTTAAGTCATAGAAAACTATCTTATTCCTTTTATTTTTCCCTGAGATAGTTTTGGAGTTTGAAAACTTGTCTTGCTGGAACTTTTTTGCCCAAGGGTGCCATGTCTTTGCAGACTCTTCTCAAGAGTCTCAGGCTGTCATTTCACAGTGTAAAATGCTGGGCACCAATATTAGCTTAACCCACACCCTTTGCTCCAGCACTATTTCTTACTCTTCATCCTTCAAATGCTGCTATTTTTCATACATCCTGGCAGAATTGTTGTGGGACAGAACTATGAACTGTACCAGAGAAATTACCCATCTTTAAAATTCTGCAGCTGAATCTTCCTTCCCTTCATAAATAATAGTATTAAAACATAGCCCCAGGTTCAGTACCTTTTAAAATCAAATATCAACAATTAGTCAATATTTGTTGCATGAAGATTTTCCAGTCAAAGCACAGATCTTTGCCAGGAATGAGCAAGAAAATTGCTGTTTCTCAAGCACTGGAGGAAACATCCTTTGTGTACCAATTGTTTGCCAACTTGCTCAGAGAAGGATAAAGAGTTCTCATCCTGTCTTTAGCATGAGACGGTGAGGCTATATAGACTGTGTAGGATGGCTGCAATACACAATGATTCACACAGTGTGTATAAGCCAAACTGAATTTCAGAAGAAATCTATAGGAAGGGTTATATGTGACAATATGTGTTAATATGGAGAAATGCTTTTGCAGAAAACTATTTTCTTATTAGAGAGATTTCAGTTCTGATTTGGAATGTGACTTGATCAAAGTGTCCCTGCTTGATTATGATCCCAGACTAATTTTACACTGGCATGGTTCTATGAACTTCCATGCAATAGGTATGAGTGTAACCCAAGGGAGACTCAGATCCTGAGCACTCTGAATCACTGGATCATTGCACAGCTACCTATATGCATCATGTTGTGTACTATCCTTTTTGCACCACCAGTGATTTCCTATACAAAATGGGGAACACAGGGATCCTCGTTCCAGACTAGTATGTTCAGCTTTACAATAAACTCCTAAGAATCACGTATCTTTTCACTCCAAAATCTCTTCCCTAAGTAGAAGGGACTTTAGACAACCCTGAAATGTAAACTGTCTTTCTGAGTCAACAGAGTGGTCCTGAGGATGTAGGCTCTCTCAAATAGTTTCAAGTCAAGCACTGAAGACTCCTAAATCTCCTGCCAGCATCTCATTCAATTGTACTTGTGTCCACATGAAAAGGAAGTACACAAACAGCATCAGGAGCCTGCACACACAGTCACAGCCTTTTGGTTTCATGAGTGGATGCACACAGCAAACCATCAGATCTGATCAGAACACCTCGATTTGGTTTTGCTGTGGTTTCACCTATGGCATGAGAAAGCGAAAGGAGGGCACAGAGTCCAGTGCAGCACAAAACAAAAGGAGTCAAAACCTCAGTTGGCATACACACTTTGGCAAAGCCCTGTGATGTCTAGTTAGCATGGCAAAACGCTGAGATTATTTTATATCTTAGGAAAAATCAAGGAAGTTAGTGACTTTGTTGGGAAGCACCTCAGAGCATCTTTCTGAACTGTATTCTTAAGCAGAGAAGAAAAATGGATCTGGTAATTTTTAGGAGCTTGTATACACAAACCATGTTTGCTGCTGTTGCCATGACATTATGTTTCTGTGTCTCAGAGTGATTTGAAGACACCCTGATTTTTCTCAGTTCTCCCCTTGCTAGTTCAGTTCCTCCCCAGCCAAGGCTGAGTTCAAAGATTACCCAATTAGTAAAAATAAACAGAAGAAAAATGTGTCCATCCTATTCATCTACCATAAAAAGTTTAATATAAGACAAATTTTCAAAAGGTGTTACTACATGAGGAAAGTGTTTAGTCTCACTACAAGAAATCATTCAATGAGAATGCAAGTAGATTCAAATATAATCATACAGACAACAATTTAAAGATGTTTCTGAAAAGATAAGACTCCCCAAACAATACTGTCTTTGTTTTGTTTTTTTCCCCCCAGCATACTGCCCCAATGGCTGCAAAGAATATGAGTCTGGTTTTCTTTATAGTGATTGCTCTACCAAGATGCTTCTCCCTTCTTACTGCCTTCCCCAGTGCTTTTCTGCCAGCTCTGATAAATTAACATCCAGCTGGTCAGGTTGCTACTTTTAGGGTAGGAAGGCCAATATTATCTTGTCAGTGCTGCTCCCTAAGTGTCAGCAAATCTTTGGTTTATCACACCACCCTTCAGAGAGACTCTATAACAATGCACAGCACATATTTTGCAATTTACTTCCCCACTAGTTCAATTTATTTCCTTTCCTTTTTGTGTTTAGAAAAGGCAGTCTTCGCGTAAACTTCAGCCTGACCTGACAGGGAGCTATAACTGTCTTTGAAGCCCTCTGTACTTCTCCTTCAATGAAGCAAATGAGAGGTCACAGAATTTTCATTGCACATTGTTAGGATGTTTTATACTTACATATTTATGTTGCTTGATAGTGTCATCCCTTATATCATGAAAAATTCTCATCTAATCCCAGGTGGGAAAGTGCTTCCAATTGTCAGCTCACACTGCGATTTCTTCATCGGTATAAAATCGTGTTCTTATACAGAGGCTTCTTGCTTCAGGAAGAAACAGCTCTGGGTAACAGGAGGGCCAAGTTTCCTGATTATCCATACACTTATTGACCATACAGCATGAAACAACGTACTTGGAGCAGAAGTGCAGGTTGGATGTTTTTCAGCACACTGCAGCAGTTATTTTGTGCAAACACAGCAAGCTGCTGGTTTACCACTCTTTGATGAAAGTATTCAGAGTGGCAGTGCACTAGAGAGAGAGAGGAAATTAATTTAGATTTTTAATAGAAGTGGGTATCAATTATATGTGCTTTAAAAAATATTGTTAGAGCCTCGTGCTTGGAAGGGAAAGTGTAACAAGTCTTGATCATGCTTTTTGTTACACCTCTTTTTTGCAAGCTAACATTGTACTTAAGGGTTTAAAGATTTCAATTCAGCTGACCTATCTCTGCATAAACAAAGGGGCTATAAACAGAGCTATAAAAATAACTTCTTAGATTTAGTTTTGTCAGATTTTCTTAGGGAGATTGGGGATGTATGATTGTTTTGGACTAGTTTCAGCTTTTAAGGGAGGCTGGCTGCAATCATCCACTCACTGAGCATGCAAGGATACTCCTAAGAGCAGAACTTAATTTCCAGTGCAGTTCCTCCTTGGAATTCACACAGGATCAATTATTGTTCATGGTATCTGTGTGCCACATCTCTGTTATTAGTGTATGCAGGTGAGCCCTCTAAGATGGCACTGAATGATGGGAAGAGAAAAGGGACAATTACAAAGTCACCTCAGTCATTGAGTTCTCGCAGTGATATCAGCTGTGGGTGGAGAACCACTTTGATATCAAGCATTGAAAATATAGACACAGCACAACATTTTAGATGGGATTTTTAGAACTATGAGAGGATAATAATACTAGAAAATGCAATGAAAAGAAAAAAAATGGTCTTTGTAGAGTTTTCTGCGCTACTCTGCCCACATGAATGCTTGCAATGACAAGTGTAACACTGAACTGCACATGCTCTGATGATTTTTTTAGCCATGGGTACAGTAAGAGTGACTGCATTATGTAAAAATACCTATTTTTGCCATCATTCATTATTTGTACAGTGACTGAAATATACTGTGGGAGACCTTGACATAGTGACAGGCTAATTACACAAACATATGAAAGCACAAGGAAACATATTCAAAAGAAACATGAAGACTAAGACTGTCTCCGGTACTTAAAATATTGCTTAAGTTCAAAGAAGCCACTTTTGGTCAAACAAACATTGTCTAGCTCTCGTTAGGGAGTCTAAACTGGCCCCAGTTGTCTTTTGCTTTCTCATATTTTGGGGCCACAGCAGAGTCTGAATATGGCCCAACACTTCTCTGAAAAGTGTAATACAATAAAATAAAATAAAATACAAACTAATGTAAGGTGGCACATAACAATACAATAGCCAACAGCAGTAACAAGGAGATGGGTGATGAATCAAAGGAAAACCTTTTTGCTCCCAGAGCCAGCAACACTCTTTCCAGAACAGCAAGGCTTGCTTGCACAGGATTCAAGGAGAGAGAATTCAGTCCAGGCTCTGGCCTCGGAAACATCTCCATTTTCAGGGATCCTAGAGTCAATGAGAAGCTATTCTGTAATCTTTTCTGGCAATCCTGTTTCAAACAAAACACAGCCTAAGATAGTCAAAATCTCACCATTTGGATTTACATTGGAGCAGGAGAAAATTGAGAGTTCTACAAACAAAATGAATGTTTGTTTAAATCTTTCTCAATAAGACATTTTCCATTTAAAAAAAAAATCTATTACCCATCTGCAATCATTAGAATAACTTTTGTGTCAATTTTTCTTTTTGAAAGCAAACCATCTTAATTTAAAAGGAATTTTGGAACTCAAAGGCTCTTTTGAGATGTAGGAAAATCAAATATCAACAATCTACAATCCTTGGGAAAAAGAAATTTCTGCTCTTTTCACAGTCCTTTCTTTTTTCTCCTTCCAGTATAACACACATGCTTGCCCTTTATAAAAATGTTAAATATCAATATTCTAGGAAAAAAACAGAACAACCAAACAAAAAAACCAAAACAAAAAACCCCAACAAAACACAAAAAACCCAAACAAAAACAAACAAACAAAATCCCTCCCCTAAAAACCAAACAAAAAACCCCAAAAAACAAAAACAACAAAACCCCTCAAAAACAACAAACAACAAAAAAAAACCCAAACCCAGCACAAACACAAGCAAAGTGTCACTCCACTAAAACAAAATTTCTTATTTATGGTCCTGTTCCTTTGGAGAAATGAAGAAAAACGGACTCATGTTTGGCAGATACTGGTCACTGTTAACTGCACTGCAGGGAGGTGCTATATTGACAAACAAAGGTGATGAAGTCAGAACAAGAAAGTTCATAAAGAAAGTAGCAGGGAAAGGAGGAAAATGTAACAAGCAGAAGGAGATAAATTTGAGGCCAAATGGATGCTAATAGAAGGACAAAATTCCTTGAATTATGGCAAAAGAGTTTTTAGAAGTGATACTAGAGAAATATTAGAGAAAACCTTTGTAGATATCCAGATGACCAAACCTAAGGAGATGTGAACAGTCATTGTATGAGATGCTTAAACCATGTGGAAGAAAATCAGCTTTCCAGGATTGTGTTGAGCACAGGGCTTGGCAGAATTTCCATTTCTAAGTATAAGAGCTTTGCAAACCACTTTGCTTCCTAGCTGCCAGGACCACAGTGGCAGGAAATGTTGTCTGGGGTCTTGCAGCTCCTCTACCAGTTAAGGATGAGCCCCAGCCCCTGCCTCACAAAGGTTCTGAAATTCAACAGGACAACCCACATGACACCCAATGCTCTACTCTGGGCCAGGTCAGAGCCCATTTGTTGCACAGCACACACATTGACATCTTGCTGGCAGTGTAACTGCAGGGTAAGGGTACCTGTGCTATACTTGGGCAAGCTTCAGAGGGCAATTTTTTTTATGTGTGCAGAGAAATGTTCAGGCGTAGAGTACTTTCCCTTCACCTTGATTTCATTTTCGCAGCCATTTCAAGAGCCAGCCGCATCTGCACAGCACCTTTACTGAAATTACCAGGGCAAAGACCTTACCAAATAAAATAAGTCCCCTGTCAGCTGTTTTGGTTTACAGAAAACCAAGAATACTCATACTTACAGTCCTAAATGTACAGAACCAGAGGAATAATGGAATGAAGTTATACAGTGTAGACCACACATACATTTTCTCATGCCTTTATGCTGTCCACAGGGCAAAACCGTTTGTTCCACATTATAGAGGCAGTGCCACTACTTTTGAAAAAAACATCATTCTGTATCCCATATCCAATTAAAAATATGTGCTATACATGCCTATTTGACATTGACAATGTCTTCTAACAGCTGGCTGAGGTAGGGTTATTGTCTTGATTACGAAAACCTGAAGAGGAAGGTAGCTGTTCCTATCTGATTTGAGAGCATCTGAAAGTGAAAATATACAAGCTTTTAAGAGGCACACTGACAGATCATCATCTGACCATTATAACCTTGTGCTGAGATTTTGACAACTAGATACAGTGTGCAAGACAGAAAAAAAAAAAAACAAAACAAAAAACAAACCAACAAAAAAGTTGTGGGGAGGAAAAGCTGAAGCTGGGAAGGGAAGGGGAAGCAAAGAGAGAAGAATTTTATTCTTAACAAACTAGAAAGCCACAAAGATGAAGAACTGACATGGAAACAGATCTTAAGTTGAGGGGGTCCCATTTCAGATGTGAGGTTGTCATGCCCAGCCTTTTATTCTACATGTTCACCATAGCTTAGGGGCATGTCACATACTTGTGAGAACTTTACCAGAGTGTTGATGCAATATTGTGTCAGTAACCGAGTGATTTGTTTTTCCTCTGGACATTGATTGAAGAAATTCTTATTACATTTTATAGCTTGCTTGGCCTTGGTATGAGAGTCAAGACATAAATTGGACCATAAATTGGCCTGTGTCAGAATCTGCATTGAAATGACATCAAGTACGTGTCATCATGCTGGCGTTGCAGCTAACAGCAGGAACCTGACACTCCCTGTCAGCTTGATCAAATGCTAGACCCCCTCACATCTTTGCCATGTGGCCCACTTTAACAGTTACAGTGAAGGCTGTGGAGGCATCTCCTGCAATGATACCGGAGAATGCTGCAGTAGGAAAATAAATTGTGTCTGTAGACCGAATTGATTTGCTTCAACTTATTGCAAAGTAACAATCTCCACTGTGGGCATTGCAGGTATATGCATATAAATAAAAATTGACACCAAAAATATATATAGATACACAGAGAGGAAAGAAGAGCATACATAACAGAGATATATTTATCCCACAAGCAAAGCAAGACTTGATAATTCATGAGTGGCAAAGATGCAGTTGAGTTATGGTGATCTTTCCTCTGGAGTGAAATAAATACAGCATCTTGATTCAGCCCATTATATTGCGTGATTAATAGAAGTGAATGCTTTCAATAGGTTGGGTTTTTTGAAACATTTAGGTTCCATATTTTGCTCCTATTATACTAACTATCAACGATCTTCGTGGTGATATTAATTTGGAAAGCAGAATTTTGGTAATAGTGACTTTTTTCTTTTGCAGAGGGCAAAGAGACTCTGCAAAGAGAAATGAAACATTTTAGCTGGAAACTGAAGTTTATTTCATTGTAAGTTAGTGGCTCAATCTTCATCAGAAACTTACAGCAAAGCTATAGTGTAAGAGAAAACAGTGTATGATAAAATCTACAGCACAATACGAGACAATGTTTTAGCTATCAGATTTTAGGTGACATTGCATTCAAGGTGAGTCAACATTTGTCCTCCACCTTCACCACTGCTCTGAGGACTGGCCAATTCCCACACATTTCACTCTGGATCCAGCAGTATCTCAAGACCTAAATTCATCATTCCTCTGTAGCCAAACACTATGAACACTGCAGGCAGGAACATGGCATCACCACAGCAGCACTGCTTTCCAACATGGTGTTAACACAACAGGCCTCTCCCCAGTGGCTTACACAGGCTTTGTGTACTGTCTCCTGTGGAGACAAAGGAGAATACCAGCCATGGAAGGTGGCCCGGTGTTATTTTATGACTCTCTCTAAGTCAGTATCTTTTTCTGGCTTGGATTTCTGCTTTTACATACCATGCAAATGTCAGCACTCTTAGCTACGTGCTTATAACTGTAATAGAAAACTCTCAGTAGTGTGCTTGTTCAACAGTGCTAAATCATGAGACCTTCCTGGGGACCAAGACCAAGCTACCTCACAAAACTGCCAAAACCTTAATTTTTCCATTTCCAACACCAACAGTGCTCTGAGGTTCTTTTAGTACAAAATTGGTAGCATACAGAAAACTGAAAATGTTGAGACAGTGCTGAAGAGAAACCGTATTAAGTCACGAGAGTTGTATGACTGTCAAAAAGAGGAAAGGGCCAGACCTGAAGAAATCCATATGGAAATAAAAATCAGATGGATAATTGCAAGTACTGCAGAACAAGATTCTATTCAGTTGGTTCACTTGGTTCATTAAAAGAGCTCATTTTCATCCGAAGCCCATCAGAACATGGAAAAACATCCCAGAACTTTCCTTACCAGAGAACTGGACCTTATCCAGAGGTCTGAGAAAGGAGCAGTGAATGATGTGCCACATACATGGCTGAGATACACCACACAGTAAACTGCTGATAGAGGAAACACAACAGGATATTTATGCTCCTTGAAGTTGTGTGCGACACCTCAGGAGTGAGGGACTTGTTTGTCATCTCTTTGACGAGTCAGAAGGAATTCCAGAGCAGAGAAGCACCTTGAATCCACTGTAAATCCTCAGTCTTGTTATCATTCAGTGATCTGCAGGGCTGCAACAGAAAAGATGCTTTGTTTTACTATTCCTCCACAGCTAGAGGAATTATGTCTATGCCCAGAAACATAGCTCTATTTAAGGGTCTTCAGGGCTGCTATTCCAAAAACAAGCTGAGGGCAGGAATGCTGAAACACAAAACACTGCAAGGATGAAGACTAAAGTGGATAGTGAAAACTGTTAATAAGAGCTTCTTGTAGAAATTGGCTCCTTTTGTCTTGGTGATAACAGATCTAAAATCTTTGCACTAAGAAAATTTTGAAAAACATCTCTGGATTTTTGGCCAGGCTCCCTTGCTTGTGTTCCCCTTCTTCATAAACACATATGAAATTATTTTTCATATGCATGTTGCCCTACAGTACAGATCTTTTGCTATTTGAACAGAAATAGAATCATATAGATAAAACTACCAAGATGTTGCACCCATCTCCTATTGCTCTTTTGCACCTCTATCAGAGAAATCTATTAAAAACCTGTAATTTTCACAGCTTTTCACTGAAAAAATTGAAAAATAAGTAGACAAAATATTGGCAGATATTTTTTCAAACTTATAAAAGCCACTGTCCAAACCATGAAACAAAAAAAAAAAAAAAAAAAAAAGCTTCTACTTAAATTAACTATGACTTAGAAATGAGCAACCCAGGTCAGAATTTAATGACAAGACTCACTGCAAGAATGTCTCTGATTTTTATTCGAGAAACTGAGATTTAATTACTTGCAGAAAACTGAGTAAAGGCTTGAGTATGTTCCTCTACTAAGCTTATGAAACTTAGTCACTGACCTTTATGAAGGTATGTCCTAAGCCAGGAAGTCTTTACAAACAAACAAGTGAGCAGATTTTCTAGATCCTTGCTGCCCACAGCAAAAACAGGGATTATCATCAAACTGTCTCTGGCTCCCTGGTCCACACTGCCTCAATCTACCTTAGAGCTGCCAGGAACTATTCTGAATGGACATTTACATCTTCCCAAGTTACCTTTCCCCTGGAGCACTTTCTCATGCCCCATATTTCCTGCTGCATTAGTCAATAGGCAATACTGCAAGCAGAAAGCATAACTGACCCAGAGAAATTCTCCAAGAGCTAATCTGGGTGATATCGCTGTTAGCATCCAAATAGACTTTGCAGTGTGACCTGACCATCACCATCATTGCAAAAGGCTTTTGTATACAAAAGTTTGGTATGAAAATCTATAAGGCACTGCAACGAATCTGATGATTTCTCTGCAGGAAACAAGTTTCTATTAAGAAAAATTAGAAGGCTGGTAAATGGCCAACACTTCACTTTGTAAAATTCCATATTGAATTCTTTGTAAATCTGTCAAGCTCTAACATTGTAGACCGAAATTTTCCATGTAGCTGCCTTTTTCAAATGAAATATTAGGGGAAACTTTAATGTAGAAGAAATTAGGCACTTTCTGAAATATGTTTGAGCAAAATACACATATATACAGTTTGAATATAGTGTTCCTGTACCCTGGGGAGAAGATCTAAAATTTGCAAAAAGGGTCATATTAAGGGAAGGAAAGAGCTGGTGGGGAAAAAAATTTCCTGGCCAGTTATTTGAAAACTGTATCATATGCAAGCACCCATCTGTGGTAGCAGAAATAAGGTTGGATGGACTCCCATACCTCTATTTTTCCACTGCACCTTTTACAAGTTTGATAAGACACTTGAAGTACAATTTTTGGCATAGCATGCATCTTTTCACTGGTCTTGGTGGTTGTTCTACGGGAGAATTGGAATTCAGAAAATTTCCCATTTCTTTTCTTTTCCCAAAACACCGCTGCATGAGTTTACCTTGTTGGAAAGCAGAAGTCATGCTGGGACCATTAATATGCTTGAAGCCTGAAGGAATGTGACATCATGCCGATGACAACAGCCAGCAACCTCAGTGATGGCTGGTATTTGACAACAGTTTTTTCAAGGAATGAGTGGGGTCCTTCAGAAACTGAAATGCACATAAAATTATTCCAAAACTCCTCAGCTCCTCAGTAAGCTGAATAGGATGTGCATTCTGATAAATTTTACAAGCATCCCAGCAAATACAAGCAAAATATTCTAGCAGTTAGCAGAGTAGAGGTGAGATTAGCATTTGCTGTTAATCCCACTTTACTCTTCCAAGGACTTTTCCACCAGGCCTGTGACTCTGGTGGACTGGGGCCACCAGAGTCTCTGGCCCTGTAACCAGGGTTACAGCTGTTCCTTCTCCATGTGTGCTTCCTAAGCCCCTCTGCAAGCAGGAGACCTCCAGCAATTGGCACTGGGGCATTGATTCCCACAGCTTCCCTTCCAGAGTGTTTGCTAATGTGACCATAATACAACCTTCAGAGTCTCAGGTGTGTGTTCTCAAGGTATGCCATAGTTCCATTCATTCAGCACAACATGAATTTAATGGCTCAAGTGAACACTTATGTGCAAATGAGAGATATTATCCTTTCCTTTTTTTTTTTTTAAATCTGCCTTTTAGAAGCCCTCCCACACAAAAACACACACACACAGAGCACTTGGGTCCTACAAATATACTTGGCAATCCACTTTGGATGAACCAAAGAAGAATTTGAGAGAAACTCAGAGAAGCAAAGATTTTCCCTTATATTCTGTAATTTTGAGGCATAAAGCAGAGATTTAAGGATGTCATCTGGGCCTTTTCTATGAGTATCTTCATTTTTGTCAGTTTAAAGCTGGAACTAGTGCATTAGCTGAAGGGATTTTGTGTGTATTTGTGTGTGTGTGTATGTGTGTGTGTGTATGTGTGTGTGTGTATGTGTGTCTGTGGTTTAATACACATTTAATATAGCTCCTGGGAAAGCTAATGGAGTTGCCTTGGGGAGCTGAGCAACCTCCCAGTGTGCTCTGCATAAATCTTCTTTAGCTGCAGGTGAACAAAAAGTTATGTTAAGTGCAAAAGTGAAGGTAACAGCTGCTGAATCCCTTTTGCTAGCCTGCAGAGAATTGGTACTGCATGTTACCAGCTGATTGGTGATTTCTTAACCTCTTCTAACCTGTAAAAATAAGAGGAAAATTTGAAGCTTTGGGGTAAAATTTCTCTCCTAGTGAGTTTCTTTTATTCACCAAGGGCAGTGGGTTAAAAAAATAATTTGGAAAGAAATTCAGCTAGAAAATGGCTGGGATACCACAAGTGCAGCTTTATAACAATCTTTCTTCGTATTTTTCTTCTTTTTTTTTCTTTTCTTGTAGAAGATAACTCGGTTTTATACTTTACTGTCTTATTAACAGAATGCATTTTGGAAGTCTGCCACTGTTAACAGTATCAGAAGGATTTAGGGCTGCTGAAATACACTTGAAGATTTAATTCTGCTGACTTCAGCTCTGATCCGAAGTAAAAACTGTAACCATAGATTAAATGTTTAGCGCCAGATATTGCAATTGCTGCTTCTTGTCGTAAATCCTTGTGTCTATTGCTGTTTCAGACAGCTCTCTGCGGGCCCTTGGCTGTGCATGCAGCACAATGCTCACGTCGTATAAGATTCTTCACCAGGGGCCAATTCCTGAAGTCCTCTCTCCAGCCTTCCTCATAAAACTCCCAGTTGCCTGAGTGAGAACCTTGAGACGTAGCAGTGTGAGGCTGCCTCACCAACATAATTCCCACGTGACACTGTGAAATCCAGGACCACCACCTACTTTTTTAATGCCCCATTTTCTCATCTTTTAATGCCCCATCTTTTCTCAAAAAGAGCATTGCAAGGGGGTGGGGAGGGGAGAGGGCCTCTTCAGACTTTATTAGTCTCTTAGGAGACTCAACTAATAAAAGCAAATAATCAATAGAAAAATTAGATTGTCATGACAAAAATTAACTAATGTGGCCATTCATACACTAGAATATCTGGTTAAAAGTTTAAGGGCCACCTCCCTCTCTTAGTTCTAATTTTATAGGTCTCAGTAGACTCCTTTTTCGGACTTCAGCAGCCATTGACATTTTAATCTTTTTAATGCGATCATCTGATTTACACGTGGGGTTCGCTTTTTCATAATGGCTAGTTCTCCACTCATTGCTTATTGCACTCAAATAAAGTTATAATAAGAATACATTTCAATAGTCCCTGGCCCAAAAATGGTGGCTGTCTTCCCTGACCTTGAGTAGGTGGATTTATTGCATTGTAAACCTCAGCACAAGGTTTATTTTTTTTTTCTATTAAAATTTTAATGTCAGGGTTATAACCCAAAATATTTTCAAGGTATCTCATAACACCTATCATACCAACTTGTGAGAAGATGCTGGTACCCTTACCCTACTAATGAAAAAGAAAGAGAATAAAAAAATTAAAACCAAGGCTGAGAAAATGGCACACACTGGAAGAAAAAAAATGCTTTGGTGTTTCACACACCAACACTGTGGCTGTGCGTAGAGATTGGGATGAAAGGCATTGAATTATAAGCCTTTGTCTGGACTCTTAGGTGGTGGGCTGATATTGAAATTTTTATGCCTTCAGGAAGAGGAAAAATGAAAATAGAAAGAAAAAAAAATAACTCATAATGTTGACTGGAAGGTTAGCAGCACTATCCCAGCCCAGGTAATCCATAAATTAAGTAAATATTATTCACTTCACTTGCTGGATATCTATATTTTACTTACAAACACTGAGACTGGCTTTTGCATTATCCTGGTACCTGGAAAGGTGCAACTTCGGAATCTGCAAAATTTGGCTTAAACAAATTTAATTTTAATTTGAGCTCCTGGAGTTTTGTCATGATGGTGTAGTGATAACTTGCTGCTGGATTGTCTGGCCTGCTTGTGCAAGCTCACATTCAGTTAGAAGTTTCAGCTGGTTTCTTGAGGCTTCTCATACTTCATCAGCTGTTTTTTCAGCTTTATATAAGACCCATATAGAATAAAAACCATGTTTCACATGGCTGTGCCAGTCCCAAAGCATGCAGATAAAAGAAACTGTGCAGTGATGCACTCAGCACAGCTCCAGTGCAGAAGGCATTCGTTTCCTTTGTTCCTCTCCCATGTGAGCAAACTAGTCTTTTATTAATTCTCTACCCTATCCCCATTTAGTCTTATAGAGAGTGCCAGGGAGAAGCTGGGAATATAATGCTTTCCTCCCTTTTTTGCTACAGGTCATATAAAATGGATATTGCACTCAGTGCAGATGGGGCGACATTGTCATTCATCAGTTCCCCAAATTGGCTGCTTGGCAGACAAAATTATTTAAGTAAAACTGAAGTAATTTTCAAAATTGAAACTTAAGCTGTTTAGTGACATAAGCCAAGAGCAGTTTTTCTTGGACCCCCAACACTTCCTTGGCTCACATTCACAGTTCGGCTATTTTCATTCCCGTCAATTAGCTCAATCTCCACGGATGTGAGGAAAGGCTAGAGCAGTGCAGTTTCTTTGATGCAATTTCGTGTATACATATGGAGCATCTGTTACTCCAGGAGTCTTGCCGTCACTTCCATTATATGGAGAGTATTGATAGTGATAGGAGCTCAGGACCTGATGGGCTATTTTCTTCTGAGCTTCACACAGAAGTGCCTTGGCAGAAAGCCGTGTGCCAGGGAATACCCCTCCAAACATAGGAAGCACACCATGGCAAAGCCCTGCAAAGAGGTCCAGGGAAAATAAAACATGTAAGAGTGTGTTCCTTTCCTACCCTGCTCCACTCCTCATGAGCATCTGGGTGTTTGACACATGCAACATCCAAGTAAGACTGACAGAGTGGGTTTGAACACCAGGCTTGGAGTACTCAGGCTGGTCCACTCAAAAATAAAAGACTTAAGGAATGCACTTCACCTTTAACAGCCTCTTGCCATCAGGTCAGTCTTTTGCGGGGGTGGGGGCAGGTGGAGCTAGAAAAGGTTTCTCTTCAGTCTTTCTTTCAAGACAGCATGTATTCCAGTTGTATTGATCTGCCAGAGGCTATCATTACCAACAACTCAGACAAACATCTTCAGCCAATTATTAACCTGTGACAGAAAGATAGCATTTTCTCTATTTCTTGGTATCTTTTATTTATTCTTAACACTTCCCAGGGAAATATCTGAGAGTTCTTGTTTTTAATCTCATGATTTGGTCAGAAGGATAAGTTAAGAGTCTAAGATTGCTGCCCCAAATCCCAGCGTTTGGTTAAGTGTGATTTAAGTGGCAATTAAAATGTTATGATGGGCTTCAGTAGACAATGAGCTTCTGTCTCTCATTTAGCATACCCACCCATTGCCTAATTTCAGAAGGGGCTTGATGGACAGTTTCAAGGACCATTCAAGGAATATTTGAGAGGTACCTGCTCTATTTCATAGATTGCAACTGGTTTAGTGACCACTACATGTCCAGCTTGGTTGGGTATGTAGGTCTCTGTGTGGCCTTCTTTGTAGGAAAAAGCAAACCATACTGGTACACGATTAAGCCATCCACAGTCCTCAGGAGCTCTCAGGAGGTCAGAAGATGCCATCAGTGCAAGCAGAAACCCCACACTCACTGTCAGGACACCTCAGGAACCCAGGGCTTGCCATCTTCAGGGAGGAATTGGCTACTTCTGCTCCAGTGCACACTGAAAATGAGAAGAGCTAAAGTTTCATATAAAACAATGATTGACAAATTGGCTTAACAGATATGCACTGTGCTGATTCGAGCTATTTTGTTAGAGAAAATATTCTAGGAAATAGAAACAGAGGAAAAAAATAACATAGGGAAAAAAAACACCTTTGATAAAAAAAAAAAAAAGATAAAAAAGTAACACACCGTTCAAAAAAAGTTTAATGGAGTGTTTCAGTTATTCTTTCCCAACAACATTTCACTGAAATAAACACACTGCTGCAAAAGTGTTTGTTTTTTATCAACTAACATTTTCCTTCTAAAAATTTCCAGCTAGGACTTTTCTACTCATGTATCAGTATTGCAGCAGGAATATTTGTAACTGTAGCTTGAATTTATGTGAGATGCTTTTAGTCTGACTCTTCAACCCACTTAGATCAAGGCAGACTCTTTTATAATTTGAAACATTCCACAGTGTTTATCTCTGGGTTGGTGAAATGGATTAGAAGGTCAGTTTTAAATTATTGCTTCATGAGTTATGTTGCTCCTATAAATTCCTGTATTTTCTCCAAATAGGTTAATTGTTTCTTGTCATCTCCCACATAATATTAAATTATCTGAAGCTGGTTATTTACAAAAAATGGAGTCTTCTTTTTCTTGGGAAATCTTGGGAAAAAAGAAATCCTTTTTCTTGGTATTTTAAAGAAATTTATATAGTGAAATTCAGAAAATATGGCAGAGATAGCCTTTACCAATATTACTTCTCTCAGCACACTCCCTAATCTTTGACTCTGAATTTGGAGTCATAGCAGAGAATGTTACCTTTGCTATTTAGAATATATATATCCATCTATACTGAATGCTAACAGAACATGGAGAGAGAATTCAGAAGGCAAACAGTGTCCAGCATTCGTGATTATTAGTCTGAGACTTGCTTTGTCATAAAATTAAAATACGTTCCTATTTCTGTATACCAGAAATAATTTAGTGTATTAAGTGACTTGGAACCTGCCATGCTCTTTAGAGGCTACAGTTCCAAAGACACATCTAACCCATCATTACAGCACCTCTGAACCACCACAGTAGGTCTAGAATCTGCCCCAATATATTTCAGCATGAGCTACATGTAAAGCTGCCAGATACAATCATTTATCCTGCTTCTTCTTTCCTTGGACCAACATGCGGAAACTGTCTTGTAGCAGCCTTTACTACTCTTAAATTACAAGCATCTGTTCCTGATCAGTTTTGAGAAGTACCTATAATTTTTAATCATTACCTGGGACTGATAATAACAGAATATTTGTTGGTAATTGCATTCTGTCCTCTGATTTTAGGATTATTCTTTTTCATTATTTCTTTTTTCATTCGTTTGGGGTTTGCGGTGGGGGTGAGTAGTTTATTTTTTTCTGTGTGGGGTTTCTGTTGTTTTGTTGGTGGCTTTGGGGTTTTTTCTTGGACTTCTTTTTTTGTTTGTTTTGGGGTTTTTTGTTTTGTTTTATCTTGTTTGTGTCTCCCTGGGATAGTCCATGAGCAAAATTATCTGGGAACCAACCTCGCCGCTAGGTTATGAAGCACCAAAAAACCTGAACAGCATGTTGGTTTTTTTCATCTACACTGAATAGGCTTTGCTATGTAATAGCCCAGTGCCATTACAAATTCAAACCCTATATGTATATTGTTCGTCGCCCTTTGTGTCATCAGGAAATTAAAGTTTGCAGCTGGCCTCTTCATCTTAGTTAATCATGCAAACATGAAATCCTTAAAGGTCCACACAGTGGTCCCTGCAGGGGCCCCACTCAACACTTCTCTGCAGTGTGACATTGTTTTTCAGCTGGGTTTTTATCTTCTCCTCTCTTCTGTTCTGCGCTCCCGCTGCTTTTAGCTTCAGTAGCAGACTGTCATGTGGCACTTTATCATGGGCTGTCCAGAGCACCAAAGTAGCCATGCCCCTTCACCACAGAGCACCACAACCTGCTCACAAGTTTAGGAGGTTAGAGATGAAGCCTCTCCTGCTCTTACTACCCTGTTTTCCTGCCTTCAACCCTGCCCTGGTGGCAAATGGGGAAAACCTTGGACTATATCTTGCACTGTGCACAGGGTTGCAGGCTGATGGCTTGAGGGCTTAGTTTCTCCTGTCTGTATTTTATGCTCTGGTTGCTTGTTTTCTAAGAACTCACTTAAATTATGACAATAAATCAAAGATTTCCTTCCAGATGTCTTTTAACATCTAGCATCATTTCCTCCAGGTCCTGGATATGTCCTAGATTTTGGTTTCCTTAGGTAATTTCCTCCACTGGCCTTATTGACCCTGACACAAGTTGACCCGTAGTTAACTTAGTCCCCCTTTTTAAGATTCAGTTTGAAGAAGTCAGTCAATACCTCATTTAAAGAGGGTGGGGGGAGGTGGGAGCGAAGGAAAGCCTTCACTACCTTCTTCATTTTCATTTCCTGTGCCATTGTATTCTAACTTTCTCCCTGACTGATTTCCACTGTCTTGCAGATGACAAGAAAAATCTCCTCGTATTTGTTCTCCTACTTTTTTTTTCTTTGCTGTAACCTCTAAAATTTTTTATTAGCTTTTCCTTACGTCTTGATACATAACATACATGTGGAACGCTTAAAGGGCTTTTATTTTACCAGATTGTTCCAGGGTTGTTAATATTTTTCTCTTTACCATTGAGAAAGCCATTTTGTCATTTTAAAGATCACAGCTACTTTTATAGAGCTCTAATCTTTTGGGCCCTAATCCAACAAATCTTTTAAGCATGTGCTTAACTTCAGACATGTGAGCGGTTGTATTGAACTCAATGGAGCTAGTCAGGTGCTTAAAGTTAAGCAGATGATGAAGTGCTTTGTTTGGCTGGCCTTGCAGAGCACCGTCCCCCAGGAGCCCCTTCACCAGCAGCCCGCGCACAGCTACCCGCGGGCGGCTGTTCTGGCTGCACTCAGGAGACAGGCACTGCAGCAGGGAGGGGAGGATCCTGCGGTACAGGCTTTGGGTCCTCCCAGAGCTTTTAGGGGAGTATCTTTTCAGTTACTGATTTTAATATAATGCATGCCTTTGCGCGTGGTGCCTTTTGACCTCGAGGTGTCTGCGATTTAAGTGATCCAGGCGTGGGCCAAGGAACAGGGTAACCAAACCAGATGAAACAAGAAAGGTGATGCAAAGACAGCCGTACGGGTCTGGTTGCACGAGGATGTGCAGCTTCTCCATTGTCTTCTCTTGCTGATTTCAGAGAGACCTGTGTGTGCTCAGTCCTTACCTGGCAGTATTCAGTATCTTGAACGGTCAGAACCTGATCTTCTTTACATATTTATTTATTTAGCCTCCCTCTTTCAGCTGTCTATATTCTTTGCATTTCTTCTCAGAGGTGGGAAGATGGCCCACCCTCACCAGGTGCTCAGTGTGGGGCTGCCTGCCCTAGCTTCTGCCCAGTACATGCAGAGTGAAAAGTCACTTTTCCAACTGTTTGAGAAAAAGGGGACAAAACAAGAGCTGAATCCCCTTTGCCCCAAGGACACTGGTATGGAAGCACTATCCTATCACAAATTTCTCCTAGCTTCTTCAACCTGCCTGAGAACTGAACAGTTCTGCAGCCACTTTGTGGCACCAAAGGACACACAATGACCAGGGAAGTTAGGTTCTTAGTAGCAGCTTAGGTCCTCAGAAGTGAGCTTGAACAAGGGATTGCATTCAGGCACCTGGGAAAGGCTTCTCTGGATAGATGTGAATCTCTTAAAATGAAGGTTTGTAAAATTGCACATAGTAGGCTCCTATATCAGCTAAACTATCTGGCTCTAGTCATGTTGGCTTGGGGGATGTGAATAAGCTGGCTGGCAGTTTTGTGTGCTCTGTCAAACCAGTTAAATCTTAGGACACTGCTTTCTCTGAGGCCTGGCCAGATGAAGAAAACATCATCCCTAAATAAATGGGATAGGCCTGATATAAATTATCAGGTGTTTCGTGGGACAAACAGCCTTGGAGTTTCTCACAGATACAGGTTTGAAAGTTCTTCATATAAAGGCTCTTTCATGTCAGTCTCATTCCTACCTCTCTTGAGACTTCTCTGTCTGTCAGAGATTGTACATAGAAAATGTATCCTTTTAAGTTAAGGAAGGAATTCCCTCAGCTGGCAGCAGTCATAAGATCCCTTATTCATACTGGGGTGGCAGCCAGGACCAAGGGCCAGTCACACAGGTGCTGTACGATCATTTCCCTTCAGTCACTGTAGGAAAAGCTGTTAACAATTTCTATCCTCTTTTGGAGGTTGGCTGCTAGGAATGGGGAAAGGCTTGGCTAATACAACTTTAAAATAATTTCTACTGACCTCAGACTGAAGTAGCCACTAAAGCAAGAATGGGAACAGGATGAAGCCCATGGCGACAGCAGCAATTTCAGCATTATTCCGGGAATGATAACGTGTCACTCTTCTGCATTGCAAGGCTGGCATCTCTTCTTGTCGTGTGACCCTAATTAATTTATGTAGTATGCGTCATGGGGGAAGACAAGATCCAGACTGAAGCCTTTGTAATGGGATTTTACCCTGTGCCAGACAGAAGTAATTAACTATATCTATCTTTTTCAGTTTCAGTTGCTCTTCCCTAAAAGATTTATATTAGGAAGGTGAAATCATATACAGTCACACCTTGCCCATACAAGCTTTTCCTATCTCCTGTGACAGAATTAAGTGCTGTACTTTTTCTCTGGCAAACAGTAATATCTCTACAGAGCACCAAACTGAAAGTCACTCTGAGTACTCTTGTTCTTTATGACATTATCACTGCTCTGATTGCTAGATAGCCTCTGACACCCCGTATCCACTTACATTTCCTCTATCCATATTTACTTCCATTTCTCCAGGTATATCCTATTGAATGCATAGTGGGTAAGGAGGTAGTTTTACATAGGGTATGTGTACAGACAGTGTCAAGCTCATCAGAAAAGAGCAGAGGAGTGGAGGGAGAACAGTTGCTCTTTTAAGCTAATGAAAGGAGAATACAGCTTCACACAAACCA